TTTCTCTACTTCTAAAGAAATCGCGGGTACATTTTTTTAGAATTCGTGAATAGAAAAACCACAGTTAAAGACAACAAATCCATACGAGTTTTGGACATGGTCCTTTATTGGTTCTTCTTCTTCCAAAGAATTCGCGGTCTCATTTTGGTTAAGATTTCGTGTATGTCGGGTTCAAAGACGGTAAAACATAAAAAAAAATTCTCTTGTTCCAAAGAATTCGCGGTCTCATATTGTCAAAGAGTTAATCTATGGTCTTAAGTAGATAGGACTAACAATTTTGAAATCTTGGGTATATTGGTTCCTCTTGTACTGACAAGAATTTTGGTTGATTTTGTTTAATAAAAAACACGAGTCTGATATGAGTAAAACGATGCCGATGCCTACGATTCTACGATGCCACGATTCCAGATTTGAAAGTTGGAATCGGCATCGCCGAGTAGTAATCGAGTATATTTTTACTTACTCGTGCAGGTCTCTAGTGCTCATAATAAAATTAGGGCTATACACAGAAAAAATTATCAAAAGTTTTAGGTGCAAAACAAGGGGTGAAACATTTTAAAAAGTAAAACGCTTCATACAAACTTTACACTTTATTTCTGCAACGTTATTAGATACTCACATATTAGAGGTCTGCATGAATGCATTCAAACTGACAAATGAGTCACTCATTCTTAAAACTTGTATAACTTTTTCTGTACTCATTACTTTAAATTTTGAGGGAATGCAGTACTTGTGACTGTATAACTGCAATAGAAAACAAGCAAAGAAATAATATCGCACTCGGTATTCGTATTATTAGGCAAATCCATTCTCCAATTTAGCTACCGACAACTCTCACACTTTTTTTTTTCTACTCAGAGTACAGTACTGTACAATAGTAATTGAGACGACACTCATAGTATTTTTCAAATTGAGAAGCATACACATAGTATTAAAAAAGTGTTGCAACTCTAAAATAGTGTACTCAGTTAATATCGGTATTGTAAGTACTCTGTACTATATTGTACACACTCTCCTGGTGCGCTTCGTCACTACATGGACTGCCGTCCATAGTGATAAGTACAGTAAATGTGAGTACCGTATACAGCTGTACAGTACTGTAAGTTTTAAAATAAATACATTCATGCAGGCCTCTATCACATATGTTTCTGTGTTCTAGATGCCTCTCAGTACCCCGCAAAGATGGGCGCATGTGCAGCAGCCGCGGCAGTGGCATCCTGAACATTATCTTCAGTCGATGGAAGTCGACTGAGAGCAGCAATAACGATTGCCCTAGGCGGAGTTTGTTAGCTCGATTATCAGCGAACACTCCACTCCACTTGTGCTGTCTATCCAGACTCTTGCTGTCAGCATCTCTATTTGTCTGCAGCTGGAATGGATTGCGCCTCAGTTGTGTGTCGCCATGGGGATCGAAGTATTGAAGTGTAGCAACGTCGGTACGAGAGCATTTCACTTCTACTTCAACGCGTATTCATGCAGGAAATTAAATCCATTGAACGCCGCAGATGGAGTTGACTGGCGAGGCTGCCTGTTGCTGTATAAGCAGCATTTAACGTAAGCGGATTTATGTGAGAGCCGCAACTGGGCCTAGTGGTCTCGTCGTGTCTTGCTCTGTGGCTTGCATCTCATTAGCACGGGGAGTTTGGGATGCGATGACCCAGCTACTCGGGGCCGCCTCAGAACTTGGGAAGACTTCTGGTGCCATGTCAGCGTACAGCCTTTGTGGGGCCGAGACCTAACGGAACTTCAAAAGATGGGTAATTGATTCGTCACTCGTAGTCGGGTTGTATGGGTGTGCCGTGTTGCGTGAAGCCAAAACTGCCGACCAAACGAATCAAACAAAATCAATAATGCATTTTAAATGAACAGCGATTCCACTTGACGCCTCTTAGAAATCCAATTAACATTCGTCCATTCGACGGGGGCCGAGGGCAACGGTCTGGTCAACATGTTATTATTGACAATAATAATGCAGCTTCAGCAGCAGCATTGGTGGAGAAGTTGCACCAACAAAAGGCTGCAAACACCGAGCGACAATTGAAAATGTCAAAATTCACGAGCACAGCTAAAGTGTCGTGAGGTAGGAGGCCATCCTGACAAACTGACACTACAAAAAAAAATGCACTTTAAAGCAATCAAATATTGTTTATTTTCTGTGAAACCGAAAAAAATTAAAAAGCAATAAGAAAGTGTCCTTTAAAGAATAGGAAGACATTTATAAATGCTCAGGAGAGGGTAGTGCGAAGCTTTTATGATATTTATTTTCCGGTGCCGTTAGTTGGTTGTAAAATTGAAAATGTACGATTTTTTAATTTAAACACTTTGAGGCCCATTTTCTCGTCCGCATGTAAAAGTTAAAGTAGGCTTTTAAATCTGCTTTAACTTTAACATGCGGCCCAGAAAAGGCCATAAAAAGCACGCACTAAGCATGCAGATTTCAAGGCTTACTATGGAGAGTAACTTTAAAAGTGCTATTTTTAGGTATTTTATTTTTATCCAGTTATTTTAGCCTGTATTAAATGACCTTCAATAAATGCGAGGGCTCCGGATAGTGTTTATCAGATAGTATTTAGTAAATACTATTTACATATCTAAAGTATTTTGATTGCATAAAATTAATTGATTTTTGTTCAGTGAACCTTTGGTGACTGGGCGAGGGTGTAATAGATGGAACCCTCCTCCGTGACAGCATGTCACACGAGACGCGGTAGCAAAATAGTCAGCAGCGGCAAGAGGCGCACCATCGGCCGCACAACAGCAACAGCCACTACCACTTTTGTGGCATTGCTGTCATCGATGGCCAGCGATTGCCAACACTCAAACAACGCGATATTTGAATGTGAGTGCCGCCGGTTCTGTTTTCGCCACCACTTGATAAATGATAAATTAATTGAGTATTACCAAATGGCATAGTTTTTCCTACAATGCCCTATGTCAAGGGTTCCCGTCAGCGGAATAACTAAAAAGGCAATAAAGTTAAACCAAAAAAAGCCATTTTAGGAATCCAAGGATTAGCGTAGAATTAATAAAATAATACGTTTTTTCGTGAACCATTAGGTAACTTTGAATTTGTACCGTGGACCTCAAAATATTGGTTAGTATTGCTCAGTGATTATAGTTAAAACTAAGAATGAATTTAAGTTAAGTTTAAGTTAAGAATTTAAGTTAAGAATGAAAAAGGTCATGAGCGCTTATCTTAAAAATCAAAATCCTAATAAAATATTACAACGTTACAGAGTATTATGACTTCGTTCGAAATAAAAAATCCTACATTTTTTTTGACACTGCCAGGCGGCAAAGCCAGTGCAAATTGCTTTTTAACTTGTAATTTCGCAACTGACTGCTTGTCTGGTCGTCTGTGGGTCGCAAGGACGTTGGTCAGACGCCCGAGTTGTACACAATCTAAATTTGGTCGGCGGTATGCTGGCTGTGAGACAGCAACTTGTTCCTATGTCAATACTTTTCTGACTGTCACTGGTGTAATTAGTGAACCTGCAAATGCAATTTAGCATTAGTTTTTAATTTAACACATTAGCTGAGCCCGAATTCAGCTGCGGCATCTTTTAATTATTTGATAAGTGGACAGAGCGAGGAAATTGAAAGTATATGAAAGTGTCACGGATAATGAGAAATTTCTATGTGAAATGATGTAGAAATTTCAGTGGCGACAGAGACCACAGCGATAAATCAAATGGTCAGATCCGGAGCTGGAGTGAAGCCAAAAAACGTTGATACACAAATATTTGCATAACACTTGATGTTTTCGGTAAATGCCAAAGCAGCAAAAGCAGAAGCAGAAGCCGAAGCACACGCGGCAACATCGACGCTCTCCAAATTGTTATATCCACACAGCCAAACACCCATACTCACACTTCATTTAGCAAATGTTGCACATCCTAACAGCAAGAGCAAAACCAGAAGCAGCAACCTGCTAAATGTTGCTTATTTTCACTGGCAAAATAAAATCAACAGAATGGTAAATTGTTTAATTGAATTTACCGCAGATGTGCTTAAGTTGCTAGTAATTTAGCAAAGCCATCCACTCGTTTTCCTATCCATACGTCTGCTATATGCATCACTATCTGTAACTGTATCTCCAATGTATCTCTATCTCCATCTCCATCTATATCTATATCTGTGTCTATATCTATATCCGTAGGAGACGTGCCGGACTCTCCGACATATGGGCTTGATTGTCGTCGCAGTACAAATAGGGCAACAACAATGACGCCAGTTACCAGGATAAGCTTGGCACAGTTGCGAGGGGCGAGTGTGTGTGTTCTTCCTGTAACTATGCATTAAATTGAAAACGGCAAAGAAAGTGCTCCGCAGACGCCAGTTGCCCGGTCGGTCGGTTGAATTGCAGTTGTAACTGCGTTCTAGATTTCTCCCAGGCCCAATTATGCCGCTGCCACCGAGTGTGCTTTCGTTTCGCAATTGGTCTCATTGCCCACTGCCCATTGCTCAATGCCCGATAATGCTGTTGATATTTAAGATGCCTGCGAGGGACACAACCTCGTGGCTGGATGTCAAAGGTCGCCGCCGTTCGCATGGCAGGAGTTGCACAAGCCTTCTGACTTTTGTAATCTTAATTAATTTGTGTGGGTCCATGGATCCGCGGCATCATTAGTTAACAGCGGTTTATCGAGGGCCCAGTTGACACCTGAACTGGCTTCCACTATCCGCTTGTGGCTTACTCTGGCATTATTCGGTCGACTTGTTCGTCTGTCGACTGCAACTCAGCACTCATCTGCCGCAGTTCGTGGCCGATTGCTCTTGGCTAAGAGCGAGAAACTTGAGCGCATGCGCAGCCGGCAAGACAAACCCGCTCGCGATCTCTCTTTCGGGGACTCTCCTCTCTCTGCCTTGTCATCTTGACCATTTGGGGGGCTGTTGTGTGGTGTGCGGTGTGTACTGGCTCTTTGGTTCGAAGCGTCTACTTTTCTTTCGGGCCAACTTCTTGGACTTTCTTGGCAACATGTTTAAAAGTCTTTTGGAAGCGCCAGCCCAACGATCAGTTCACTGCGAGCGCTTACAGCGTCTGGTGCGTTGCGACAGAAGAACGAGTGCCAGCTAACCCGAAAAACCAATAAAACAATCCACCGCAGACCCAAACAAACACAACAAACTAAAGGACATAATCCCAGCACAGCGACCCAGAACAAAGCGAACTCGTACATACATCCAGTGCAAAAATTGTGCGGGCAATGAGTCGTGATTCGAATGTGGCACGATTTTAATTAAATCGACAGTTATTGAAAGAATTAAAACAAATCACAAAGTACGCATCACAGTTGAATTGAATTCCGCTGAGCGGAAAACCACGCGTCGTGTTGCACGGCTCAGAACCAGATTCGGAATCAGGATCGCATCCCGACCATATTCCTATTCATATTCATATTCATATTCATATGCAGTGCGCGCGAAATTCCTGTCGGCTGTCCTTGTCGTATTGTTTATGCATTTGTTGGATGTTGGTTCTGCGAGTCTCCCTCTAACACGTAGCAGCGGCGTCAACAGGTAAGCCGGGATTAACTTTGCTTAAACTGTCGAATCAACTATAACGACAGCAGACATCGGGGTGGGTGGGGTCCTGCTCCTGCACCTGCATCGACAGCCAAGTGGTGACAAAGAGGATTACCACGAAAATATTTACAAGTTTTAAATTGTTTATCCCAGTGAGAGTGTTCTGTGTGTGGGTTTTATCCCGCCTTTTAATGTTCGTGCGATTGGCCGTTGGAGCGGCCAATTGCAAGGAGAAGAGGGCCGGAAAGAATTAAATCAAAACTTGTCTTTAATTAAGGAGTGGGCCTGGCCAGGCCAAAGTCTTTGGAAGGGGAGGGGGAGGAGGGAAGGGGCCTCCAGAACGGGCACATAAAAAGTCAACGGCAGCATCGGAGCGGCAACACTAACAAGTGCAGAAGAAACAAGTACCACACACATACGGAGGATTGGCAGCCACACACGTGTAACTGGAAACAAGTTGAAATGCCTCAGCTACATTTGGTCAAGTTTACATGAGGCAAAGTACTTGGCCGAGAGCCGAGAACTCTTTCCCCAGCTCCAGCCCCAGCCCATTACCAGTATGAGTGCGAGTGCGAGTGCGAGTACCAGTACCCGGAATCCCAGCCACAGATGGAAAAACGGACGAGGCGATGTGATTTTAATGAACTACTAAAAACTCGGCATGCCAAACCTAAAACAAACATAAACCAACTTGACGCTGGCCTGGCCTACGATTGCATTATGGCTGCCACATGCAGCAGTAACATCAGCTAGCAACAGTTGAGAGCCCGGCAAGGCGGGGCGAACAATGCCGCAATCTGTACAATATTTATGCAAGCATTAGCAGATTCCCATCCCCAATCCCCAATCCCCAATCCCCAATCCCCAGACAAAGTTCCCAATGCCCCTCTTCCAGCCCTAGTCGCAGCTCCAGCATCTGTCCATCGGACTCGAGCCTGGTTAGTAGAGACTTAAGCTGACAGCCGCCACCGAGCAAAACGCAGAACAGTTTGAGTTACTTTCTACACAGCACTACAGCATTTCACCCGCTCAGCCGCTGGTGCCACTGGCTGGCTGAGATTAGTGCAGTTACTGCAGTTGCATCCACAGTTGCCGTTGTTCTTATTGCGGTTTCTGTTACTGTTGCGGTTAAATAAATAAAGCAGCGTGACTCCACGGCTCAGCCCGAGTCTCAGCCTTTTGCTTTGGCTTAGGCTTTTGCCAGTGCTTTTGCTTTTTCTTTGCCCTGCCTTGCTTTTCCCCGCCCTGGCTTAGTTTTCAGCTTGACAGCCAAGAGATTGCGTTGCAACAACGGCCGACTCCTCGGCTGCTGTGACTGGGTCTGGAATTATAGATGGGTCTGCTGCCCGCTGCTTCCAACCCACTTCCTTTGGACCTGGCCCAATTACGGGGCTGCTGCCTGCCCCTCGCAGAGCCAGAACCGAAGAAGCTCCGATGATCATTGTCAATTAATATTTCGAAGATTGGGACGCCGGGACCCCCGGGAACGGGCCAAGACCGGGACTGCAGCTGTTGCATAAGCAGCTGATAGACTTGCACATAACAAACTCATGGCTAATGAGCACGCCATCGCCATTAAGAGCTGCTGCATTTTAATTAATCAAGTTAACAAACGGAGCGCCTCGGCTGCTGTGGCAGCAGCCTCATCTGTCAACAACAATGCGCGCCGCAAACTAATTACATGCAGCTCGGCGGATAAGGGGTAAGCCCAAAAACCAAGTCCCAATTGAGGCGGCCGCACATCATCATTGTTCGATGCGGAGCCCGGCTTTGCATATGTGCGATTACCAAATTAGATTTCCGTCTAATTATGGCAGTTGCACTGCTGGAAAAACAAAACGAGACCCGAAGAAATTGCAACTGAAATTAATAGCCAAGAAGGCAGAAGTTTGCGCAAGCAACGATAAACAAATGGATGCAGTAAAAGCAAAACTTCGGAGTGGAGTCAGGCCATCGAGTGCCAGTCCATCCCGATCCCGGCCCAGGCGATGCCGAGTCGAGTGCCAGCCAAAGTTCTTCGGAGACTCCGCCTCTGGAGCGGCTGGGCTGTTCTGGCTCTGCACGGAGGATGCAGCACTTAATAATAATTAAATAATTTTCGCCAATTATAGAGCCAGCACATAGCCATCTAAATGGGTTTGGCTTAGACTCTGCATCTCTATCTGCAGGCTGTGTCTTTAACCCTATCTCTTTCCCTTTCCATTCCCCTTCCTCTGCCTGGGTTTTTGTGTGTGTGCTGAACTAATAAATAAGATTGCTTTTAATTAAGAAAGAGAAAATTGTTGCCGCCATCGAAGTTTAGCAGCAAAAGTTCTTTCATTTGCCTTCCACGCCGCTGTTCCAGCTTCAAGGACCACTGTCGGTTCCAGATTCAGATTTAGTTTTGGATGCTTCGTGAGATTGGGTTTTATCCAGGAGCCACTTTCAATGGTTTCACAGCAAAGCGATGATTTAAAACGGCGGATTTTACAAAATGTTAATTAAATTGAATGCCATTTTGTAAAAATCTCTTTTAATTAGCCCATTAAATATGGCAGGTAGATGATTTGTTTCTCCGATTAATTAACGACTTCCAACAAAATATTCCCATGAATTTGGGACTTCATTCTAATAACTAACAATACAACTTATTTTTCTATAGTAGGAATACATTTTCTTGTTTCAAAAATACCTTCAATAGCTTAACTTCCATTAAATTTATTAAATAAATCAAAAAACGCCAAATGCATACAGGAAATGGAATTATCAACAATCTTGTTTGATAACCTTTTAAAAAAGGGCTGTCTTTTTGTGCGGTTTACAACGAAGTTCCCATGAGATTATAATTTCTGTGATTCTTGGCCTCTGCTTCTGCTTATTAAAGACCATTTCCACTTTCAAATATAGCTAGAACAGAGACCGATCTGAAACAGGACCACCAAATGAAAGTCGGTCCCGTACTGTCGGTCTCAAGCCTTTTGCAGGTTAATTTGAAAGTTTTTGACGTTGGTTACCGGGTGTTTGGGTTTGGCTTCTGTTTGGCTGGGGGTGAAGCCAAATACTCACTGCTGAGTTCTGAGTAGCAAACTGCGAATCGCTGGCTCCAGTGGCAGTGGCATCAACGTCATCGCCTGACGCTGACTTGTGGGCCCAACGCACACACACACCACTTTCTGGCACACGTCATGGGAACTTCAAGTGAGCCAGCCAAAGTTGGGAAATCATGGGAGTGAATTATTTTACTTTGTTCGGGGAAAATGTATTAATAAACATTTTTCACAGTTGCCCTGACAGCGCCTCAGTTGCCGCTGTGGAATTTTTAATTCAATTTATATATTGAATTGGCCGAATACACAAGAGCAAGCAGCCTCAGTTCGTCGCGTGCACTGCCAAGTTCTCCTTCTAGGCAGCGGCAGAATGGGAAGTGGAATTGGGTCCCAGACACGAATGCACAGAGGACCAGCCTTTGATTGCTGTCCAATAATAATTTTATTTACGTAGCAGTACAACCGGAGTCTCGAATAATTCATGCGCATCTGTGTTAATATTATGCCGGTCTCCGTTTTCGGACAGCTCAACCCTTTTCGGCTCTGGAACGGCCGGATGACTTTGAACTTTTGACACATTTGGCAGTCGGCTGTCATAGTTTTCTAGGGGGTAATAGGTCACCGGGGAATTTATGCTTGGTTAGAGCGGAGTCCCGCCCAGCCCAAGTCCTTCCATTTCCTGTCCGACCAGGAAACCCGAGCTCTTCAGATACATAAATTCTTAACGCCCCAAATTATGAGACTTGACCCTTAGTGATGTCCGAGAGTCAAACAGAGGGACGGATTGGGGTCTGCAAGTTGTAATCTTTGACAGAAAGCTAGGAGCGTTGGAGCGACCTTCGGTGGGAGTTATTTGTGTTAACCGAGTTATTATATCTAATTAAGCGGCTTATTCAGCTGACGCACTCGTCACAAACCTATCGCCGCAAGCCGCATTTCATCGCGTCAACAGAGCACCATCAATGCGCCATCGAGCGCACAATTGATGGTCTGAATGCTTCAATTTATGTTGGATCACATTAGGGAAAAAGCATAGCATATTTTTTCCATTGCGGCATTTGTCCATTGCCTTACAATAATATATTAATAATAACAATGTGCATCATGCGTAGTAAATTTGTTCAGAGTTTTTGCCATTTCTTTATCGGGGTTTATGCAATCACTTTCACAAAATACAAATTGAATTGCCATTGCCAGGGCCACAGCATTGTGTGGACAAAAAGCGCGAAACAATTAAAAAAATATCGGAAAATACAATTAATAATTGTGAAATTATTATGCACTCTAGTGCAGTCGACTTTAAAGCATTAATTGAGAATTTTATTTGCAACGATGCGCGTCTGAGATAGCACTCAGCTCATCCGGCATGATTAATTTCCTGACCCTTTGAGCGATCATTTACACCACCGCCCGACCTCACCGCCGCATTCATGAGCTGGTCAATCAGCACTTAAGAGCTCTCTCAAGTGGATTCTAACAGTATGCTGCTGCTGGTGCTGCTGATGTTGGTACTGCCGCCACTGTCCATAATCCATTAGAAAAAGTAGCAAATTATGATTTATTGCACTTTGCCCGAAGAATGGAAAAATTCATGAAAGCCACAAAGTGTGCGACCGCTGGAAAGTATGCTCCGCTAAAACGCAGCCAGGACCCTGATCGGTGGGTGGAGAAGAGGGTAGGAGGGGTGGGCGGGCCATAAAGGCAAAAACTCCAAAGTAGCATACCAAAATGTAAAACTCTTGTAATAGCACGGCCACTTTGGGGCACTCCACCCACAAGTCTTACCATTTTGCGGCCAAAACTTTTGTTCTCGGTGTATTAAGTTCACGCCCCAATGATGCATTGATGTTGTCCCTGCAATAGAGTGCGCGGAACAGCAATTAATGCTCTATTTGTGGCAGCCAAAATAAACATCGGGTCTAAGGTCGTCATCCCAATTACACGCTTGAGCAATGTGCGTGTTTTCCA